ATTCTAAAATATACTTAATGCCATCTGCTCCCCGATGACTAAAAATGGTAGGCAAGGCGAAAGAACAGAAACATTCGAATTCGTCAAATCGTTATCGAAGGTGCTTTGAGTGGGTATAAAACAAAGCAGGTAGGACACAAGTGAAGATGGATACCGATAAAGAGTCTGTGTGTGAAATGAAATGAGAAGAAATTCGTCGCCAAAAACGAATATGTGGATGAGCGTTCTACATAATCAGAAGAGTAAGTTGATAAAGCGTACAGATTCACCTTTCCTACAAAGAATGAGCGTATTTGTGCGTCTCCAATCGTGCCTTTGTGCGGAGGGTGGCGTCAAAGTCAACCATTCTCGCATCTTCCAACCGCTTCGCAGTGCCGTTTGGATGAAGTCTGAAGGGAGCAGGTTCGGAATGAGCCAAGTCTGCTGGGAGGGGAGTGTCCGTGTGGGTTGCGCCAAAGCCTCGAATCGCCAAAAATCGCTCAGAATCCGCAGGAGCAAGGCAGTCGGCAGAAAAGGGCGATGGGCACAAAACGGTTTCATTGCCCAGTCCCACCGGGCGGGTTGTCAGCGAACCGATGGAGCGTGCATGGCAACTCGTCTTGTCTCATTTCCTCGTTTCCTCCCCATCTTCGTCCTCCCGTCTTGTCCGTTTCGTGCATATCGCCTCAAGGCGCTGTACCATTCGAGCCTGCTTTCTTTTTTGATTGCCGACACGAGAATGACACGAGTTGTCGCCACCCAATTTCGAACAGGCATTGCCGTTGAAGGCAGGACACTGTACCGCTTCGTTGACCAGCCGAATGCTCTCTCTTCATCCGAACAAATTGGAGACTGTCAATTTCTTTATTACTCTGTTGTGCTTGCTCCTGCACCCACTTGCCCAGGCCTAATTTAGCCTCACCCTCTCTCCCTTTCTCCATCTCACCCTCTCACTTTCTCAGCACATCAGTCCGATTTGCCAATCTCTATGGTCAAGAAAGGGTTTGGGTTGCTCTCCCAACTCGATCGACCCACTTGTCCATGGGCCGTCGAGGCGGAGAGGTCAAGAGAAAAGATGAACAATGCAAAATAACCTTGCGTGGTGTGATCTGACAACATGGAGGCAAACTGCCAACTTGGCTTTTACATGAACTGAGTCAAGTTGATGAGAATGTGGATTAATTGAACGAAAGCCGAGCAAGAATGCAACAGACGGCTTTGACCTCAAGCCCAATCTGCAACGGAAGACTGGGATTAAGAGTTGAGAGATTGTGATGCGGAGAATTGGCAGGACCAAGTAGGACGCAGATGGAAACAGACTCGTTTGGTACACTCGGTCGAAGACAAAAGGATGTACAAAGAGATGAGCATCGTCAACGGGAGACAACAAGAGAGGGTGAACAATCTGTCGTCCTACGTTGGGGTTGAATTGGGAGAAAGAGGAGAGCAGAGAATGAGAGAGAAAGTGCAACGTTGCCGAAATAGAGCGGCGAAGGAGCATAACTCGGCGAATGCCTCCGAGATGATGAGTGAAAGGAAGAAGAGAGTCAAAGAGTCGGTAGTGAAAGAGTCGGTGATATTTTTGCAAACTGTTTCAAAATGGGCACATTTGCAACAGATGACGAGTTCGCCGAGCGGAATGTGACTTGGAGACGAGGCGAATCGGGTCAAACTGATTAAGAGGCCAAAAGAGATGGGGAAAGACGAATGAACAAATTCGCGTGGAATTGGGAAACAGCTAAAAATGACTGTAGCACAGGCTGGCAACGAGGCCCAGCAACAAGCTGATCAGCGAATGCAAAATCTTGAGCTGCCGGCAGAAGAGGCAGAAGTTGGATCGAGCGGTTCCACACGAACTGGTCGCAAGGTTCCTAGTCCCTTCCGAGCAGACCAGGTCGGGAGGAGTAGAGGGAATGGGCAAAATGACGAGACTGGCACAGGCACGAGTCCTCGCATACGCAGACAACATTTTATTTGACACACAAAGCTCATCTCTTCCCCTCTTCTGCAACCGCAGGTGTGTCTTTCTCTGAGTTGAAAGCTCGACAAATCCTTGATGACCCGGCACTGAAGTCGGGTCCGTTCTATTTGAACCGCAATTGCTAATGGAACCAGCCTAATCATGTAATTTTGCCCATTTTGAGCTTGGCTATCTACGGAATATATGGTCGTGGTATGGTTGTATGTATGTGCTGGTATGTGTGTTTAGACTAGTCATTACAAAAAGTGTGACATCTTTTGGTGAGACCGAACGCCAAATGTCCAGTTGACTTCAAGTTCTGCTGAGCGATGGCACAAAGTCATCTTCGCCTGGCAAAGTTCGCATTCATGGAGATTGTAAGGCATTCGGAAAAAGGAGAAGGAGAGAAGTGTCGAATTGTGGAATTGTGCCTTTTCGACGCCTCACATACAACTTGGTCAACAGATACCGAATTGGTAGCCTAAACACTTGCTCAAAGAACTTGCCGACAGGATTGGCAACAGATGACTATGTGACTAATAAGATGACATTTTCACAAAAACACAAACAGAAACACACACACACACA